GGTTCATAAAGATATTAAAGCATTATAATAAACAATAACTAGAAAAAGATATCCGACTTTTGTCCAATTATAGAGACCTACTTATGATTCAAAGTTACAAGTACACCCCTCAAGAATTATAATATCCTTGTGTGCAACAACTCTTCAAGATGCACTTTGGTACGATAAAAATAAATGTTTCAGGTCGTTGTAATTTTCAAACATAGTTGGGTTATTTTGGGGTTAGAGTAAATCTCAGTGGTAATTTGTAACTAACCGTAATTATTTTGTAGATAACAATGGCAAGCAAACTCACCTCCCTTCTTCCAATTTGTGCATAGAAAATATTTAGCAGTGATCGCTTAGCCTCTCGAACTTGACAATGAACAACAGCCTTGGGAATACTATTCCTCATGGTATCGCAAACCATACTAATGTAAGCGGACACATTTGTACCTGTTATCAAGCAGCAAAGGTCAAACCAACTACAACTATCACATATAAACAACTCAAGTATAAATACTTCCCATGATGGAAGCTCATTTTGTAAAACACTTCAGAAACACCAATTCATTGATTGAACATGTCATAGGTGGGATGGCTAGAAACACTTTGGAAATTCACTCCATGTACACTCAAAAAACAAAGACCCTTAAACTTTTACGGAGTTTTTAATAATTACAAAACGTACATCCGAGGTTTTATTGTTCACATTTACTCCATTGATAAGCAAAAAACATTTCAAAATTCTTTTGGCATTTTGAAAATTAGATTGGTTTTTTTATAATTATGCTAAACCTGAAAGAGTCAAGGGTACTTTCGGTAATCCTACCAAACAAGAATTAGAGCTACATGTGGACACAAAATGGGATATATACCGATTCTCCTAAGATGATTGACAGTGTAACGATCAGCGTTTGGGCCAGCAGGATTTGCTGTTTTCTCTGGTTCAGTGTTAAGTTTTCGGAAGAAGTCAACTGTTAGGTAAGCAGACTCCATTTCCACCAGTCGTAGAACCGCCCTACGACTCTCATCACGGAACTTTTCCAGTGCTTCATTTGCCGCTGCTGCTATATCAGACTGAAGTGTCGGAAATCGTTTCAATTCCTGTATGGACAATGGCCCACAATCATATCACCTTTAATTTTAGATGGTGTTAATGTTTCTGGATAATTGTTTTTGTGTGTAATGCAGTGGAAGAAGTGAATCTCAACATTTCTCAGGCTAAGATGCTCTAGTGGACCTTCTTGGGTCAAATTCATAATTATTGTACTTGAAAAGAAAATCGAAATCGTTCAGCACAAATATCAGGGCAATATCATTGTATTCTAGTAGCTTGACCAGCTTCAGAGGAAATCCTGAAAATCACCTAGAATGATTTGTTCAGGCTTCCTATAACTTTTCAGTTTTCCAACTTTGCTAATACAAATTTCTCCACCTTTTCTTTCTGTGTATATATAGACTAAATATGTTTGGAGACATCCTCGTAACCTGACATACCAAGTAAAGAACAAATATAAAGACAAATCTGGTAACCTAACTTATCAGGTAAAGAAAAACATAACTTTGTCCATTAGCTTCATGTTAGTTTAATCCACAATTCTACTCAAAATAAATTAGTTTTATTTATTCTATAAGATAACTTGCCTTGAGGCTGGCGTGCAAAAATAAAAGTATAGAAAAAAAAATCCGGCAAATCATGTAAACATCATATAAAGTTGGAGGTCATGTAGTGCAGTTCAAAAACAGCTGGTGGTCATGTAGTTCAGTTGAAGCGTGTTTCAATAAGAAACCTCTCATTTAGAAAGCATGTGTCTCGCACCATATAAAAATAATGATGCACATCAAAACTTTTGAATTTGGAGAAGAGTTCTATCAGTCAAAGTTGTTTACCTCAGTTTCTGCAATAGACTTCCTCACAAGTTCTTTTAAAACGAAATGTACCTACAAAAATCCATTAAATTCAAATAAAAACATTAATTTCAATAATATTAAAGAGACAACCAAATCATTCTAATTAATCCATAAAATTGTAATCTGAACCAAAAACACACAATTTTCTTATCATGTCAGAAGTGTAGTTGTCTGGATTTAGGGTTTCAGTAGCTCATCACCAAATTACAAGTGGAGCAACTTTTATAGCTTCATAAAGTTCATGTCCATGCATTACCTAAAAAATAAACTGACTATAGGTGCTACCTAGCTTGGGTAGACAGTGAAAAGAAATGAGAAATTCATTGCCATAAGGATGTCATTGATAATTTAGTATAAAGCAAATTTAGTATAAAGTTACCATTCTCCAGTTGCTTAACTTACTCAAAAGGATCTCAATGATTAGTAGGAATCCGATCTTATGCTTTCAGATGGATAGTTTTAATATGAACTTTTCTTCAAAAGTCTTTCATTGTTCCGTTACTACTGTAAGAAAGCCTTTCAGCCAGTCATCAAATAATATTTGGTTTTCCTCCTAGATAGCAATAATCAAATTTCTTTTGTTCTTTCTCCTTTTTCCCTCTCTTATTTGGAGGAATGTTCATGCTTCCCTCATTTTTTCAATTCCTAAGCAATTTAATAAATAAGAATATCAGCCTAATAGATCTTCCATGTAACAGTTCACGTAAAAAAAAAAAAAAATCTTTCTGGCTCCGTTATATGAAAATATTTTACCCCAGTGGCAGTTGGTCCCTTTCAAACACGCAGAGACTTCATCAGTACTAGCCTAAAAGCTGTGTTAAGGCGTAGGATGCAATGCATACAGCAAAATTTTTCAGCTAGGCAAATGAAAGTTCCCATGGGAAAGCCAGAAATGTAGTATTCGTCACTTCACCTATTGCTGAGTACCTCATGTGTTACTACAAAATGATTGACTAGTCAATTACTCAATTATGCAGACATACCTAAGTACCAATATCAAGTAGTTTTCATATCAGAGCTATAAAAGACTTCCTTCTCTGTTTACGGCCATAAGAATGTTTAAAACATCAAATGAGGCTGGAAATTCTACTGTCATAGACAAGTTGAAACTCTGATATCTAAAGGCAGTACCAACGTATTTAGCCTAAAGATCAACTGAAAATTTCAATAAAGTGGGCTCCAAATTACATTAACCATATAAAATATATGTTATCTTAAAATCAACAAAAAGACCATAGTATCAAATATACTGGGCCTAAATTTTAAATTATAGAAAATCTTCGACTACCCTATAAAGTCTGTAAAACAAGTAGCAAGCTTACTATGCATTGTACAAAAGAGATAAAGTGAAGCATAATTGAAACAAATAATCAAGCTGGAAACTTGTGCCCAAGTAAACATATCCAGATACATAAAGCTACCAGTAAACTAATAGTATAAGGCGTGATGTAACAATGATTAACAAAGACGTCAATTCAACCTTTCATAGAATGATCATCATACAAAAAAAGTGAGAATAATGGAAAGGCATCAGTAAGATGATTTTGTGTTGTATTGCTTTAACTGTCTGAAATAAATTTGTCATCACAAAACCAAGATTTAAGCAGTCTCTTTAACAAAGATAATAAAGATGTTACCGCATCAACTGAAGCTTCAGCAGGCCCCTTGAAGTAGCCAAGTGATCCATCAATTAGTCTTCTGTATCCTTGTTCCGGGGCAATCAAGTGAGGCTGATACCCATCTGCTTCTGAAATAACTTTTTTAACATTACTTTGAGAGAGGTGGCGATCAAATGGAAGCTTCTTTAGAGCGGCAGGTAGTTGGTGATCAAAAACACCATATATCTTGTCTCCTCCTGGCCTCCTGCAAAAATAACATGTTGCGTCATAACATACTCCAATATCTGTATGAAGGAATTGATAATATCTGTGAACCTGAGCTAGTAAATGTGTGTTTCCAGGCTCCAAGTATTTATCAGAGTTAAACCATGTAAATCAACAAATTATAATTAAATATATCTCTAGCTGAGAACATATAGATGAGAGAACTAAAAAAACTAATACTTGACTTTGATATAATATTACCAATTACTCATTTACTGCATACTGACAAGAAGGCAAGGGCATCTGGATATATTACACTAACACACAGTGCTGGATCTTTTTTTACCTGTCCACTGTCGTGGAATTAAAAACTAAATCTACAGAGAAGTGGCACAATGGAAGTTCTGCCAGACAATGAAGAAAATAGAAAATATTCAGGTACAGCTCTCTATAAATTATTGACATTCACTGAGCAGTCATCGAACATGGCAGACAAGTCTGAACTGATACATGGAAGTGTCAGGTTTCAAGGTCATATGAACCACTTGAGGTTCCACCGAATATTCGGGAGATAATTTATCTTTTGTCAAAAGCATACTACTCTACTGGCAACTTGATACTACCTAGTACACTGACATTAACAACTATGCAACCAAAGCATATGAGCAACCTAGGTAAAACATAAGTCTAAAGATTAGCAACAAACTTTGACGCGCTGCCTTGTGAAGAAGACAAATAGAACCATACCATTTCCTAAAAAAAGAAGGTAGACTTGTGACCCTAATGTTACATTTGACAAATATATTAACTAGTTTGACCAATACACTTTAGGGAAGTAAGATTATGATCTTACTAAACTTTTACCTGTATTATGTATGGAAATTACAGTCAATATTTGCTTGATCGATGAATGAAAATAAGATTCCAAGTTGATTTGGAAATAAGTATGTTTTGATAAGTGACTGTTTGAAAACTTCACGGAATACAGGATGACTTGCAATAAAATTGAATTGTTATCTTGTATATAAGGAAATTTTGGATATAAGATCATTCAAATCCTTTACTTAGAAATATACACACAAAAAACCCTGGGTAGATAACGATCATTACCCTCCATCTAGATGTTCCTTGAAAATGCGATCAAATGCGCGACACATTTCCAGAATTGTATACAGCTGTGCCTGCACATCAAGGTCAAACACTTTGGCATGCATACAGTACAAATGATATCATTTGACTAACATCAGTTTATGTGAGAACTGCTATTACCCCTCCATCCACAGCAATGGGCCTACCAATACGATCCAACTCCGCATTAAGCTCATCAATAGTCTTATTTATTAAGGCAATAATGCTGGGAATTCGCTGCCTAATGACCTTCTCCAGATGCTATTGCATGTCAAAGGAAGATAGGAAGTTGTTAAAAGTCACCAAAAAGAACTATTAACTTTAGAAGGCCAATTTGAATTCAGATTCTAAAGGAGGATTTATATGCCTGTGAAAGAAGTTTCGCCAGATACTCTGAACCCATTTTATGAGCCAGATGTCCATACTCTGGGCTGGACTCAAAATATTCCCTCTCCTTCTGACGAGCAGAAATCATGTTAACATTCTTGTTGATATCAGCTTGAGAGCGATTCACAATTCCAACCCATGGATGCATGAGCCTGTACGCTCTGCCTTCGAGTACCTTCAGGAGCAACAGATATAAAGGTAAATGATACTAATTTTGAAAATTACAGAAGGAAGGAAACTGATAGAGAGAATCAATTCATGTATATGAAAATTAATTATGTACAGATATCAAAGCTATATTGTACTTATTGCCTGTCCTTTAATCAATGAAAAGGAAACATACAAAAATAAAACATAAAAAATCAAATAAATATAAAAAATGAAGAAGGCTCATACGTCAAGTGCATTGGTCCCTTTATCCATCAAATCAAGTTTCGTCAACACTCCGAATGTCCTTTCACCTAAAAATAATAAAAATAAATTCAGTTGGATCTTAAAACAAGGAACACTACTACACACAGAGACAAACAAAAAGGAATATAACTAGCTACTATTAAGTGGCACCTGTTGGGTCAACTTCCCTGGCAAGCTTTATAGCATCTGAAGTTGCTATGTCTTGATTAGCAGGAGAGATGGCCAAAATAATGCAATTTGGCTGTGATGTGAACAGAAGAGGTAGATGAGAAAGAAGGGATAAATAATTTAGGTGCTGACAAGCACCTTTCCAAGACTGCTAAACTGAAGCAAATTACAATAAATCCATTAAGCAAGTTGACTCCATCATTACAAGCAATATTGTAAATTGATCTTTTGTGAAAGCAAAAATGTGAAAATAAGATCACAGGACTTAAAACATTTTTAAATCTCAGTAATCCTACGCCGAATACATTTCAGAAAGAGCACCAATACTGAGACTTCTGATCATAACCCAGGTTACCTTATTACACAGAGAGAGGAAGAAAGAGAAAGAATCATAAATGTGAGCACAAGATTGAAGGACTGGAAACTTTCTCAAAGCTCTCAAGTAACAAGCTCCTCAGGTCCTTTAGAATACATATCCTTTAGAATACATACAGTTCTTTAAAATGGACTAATGACTGAAGACATTCCCATCAAAACGCTACTGCCTCCAGCCGCACAAAAACCTTCAAGTCAGATATTCTATGTTTAGGGAACATTGAGCCCCCAGAAAACTATTTCAAGTTATAATTTGCAGTCTAACTGCAATTCCGTACAAGGAATAACTAGTGACTGGAGACAATAGTTTATAAGTAGGCCATCCACTTTTCAGCTGTTTATGTAGAGTTCAAAGGAAGAACATTAGACAAAATAAATAACTGCAACAGCAAATGTCGTAGTGCTCAGAACATTGTGTTCAGAGTAAAAGTGGTGCTTGTACCTTTTCAACATAAGACCGGACCATCATTTCAATATCTTCAACAATACTCTCTGGCTGTCCCTCTGAGACAGTTAAAATTTGTGAGCATCCGATCATTCTCTCTCAAATTTTCAAGAACAAGTCACCAACAGGGGAGTTTATCTTATGCATGAAAGTAACAGTATGATGCTCACCAACAGCTACCTTTGTCAACCCGGGAAGATCAATGACTGTTAAATTTACCACTGAA